CCTCCCCCGGCTGCCTCCCCAGCAGTGACTGTCGCGGGTTCGCTCCCGAGCAGATCGCTGTCGACAGTCGAATGGATCCCCGCTCGTTTCTCGGTGGTTCGTCCTTTATGGTCGGTCTTCCCCGTGGGCGGTGGCCCCACGCCCCGCACGGGCCTGGCGCACCTGTTCGCGATCTTTGCTGATGAACCGCCTGGGTTTGCGCTGTGCTGGGCGCGGGGCTGGCAAGCTGCAGCTGTGACTTCCCTGGGGTGCTCGGGAGGGGTGCAGAGGCGAGGCCTGCGGGGCACCGGGCGCTTCCCCAAATTAGGGGGCGGGGGGCCCTGCAGGACCGTCTCCAGGGTAAGAATTCGAGGCTGGCCGAGGCAGGACACAGGCGCAGCTGCTGCTCCCTGACGTGAAGATTTAAGGATTAAGGCTTTCAGCCGCTCCCTCCTCCGTGGAGCTGTGGTTTGCTTTGTGCTTGGTTGGCGTCATTAGAGAAACACGGACCCCGCCTCACCTCCGTGGCAGCGGTGTCCTGGCTCGCCCAGCCTGTGGCATCGGGCAGCTAACGCTCAGCACGTTGGTTAGACGAGCTGCCACTTCAGAAGGCCTGAGACGTGCGGTTCTGAGTGCTTTACAGACATTTCCAATCACCCATGGAAGGTGGAGCTAACCCCATCTTATCCATGAGCAACAGGGGGTGAGAAGGGAGAGGTGCCTCCCACAGAGAGAAGGGGAATGACCTCACCAGGCTTCTTTTTACATCGCCCTGTTGGCAGGGGTTTCCTTTCTGCTTCTGCTTTTCTTGACAGCTTTTCCCTTCTAGGCTATAGTAAACATTACAAATCTGTTGGGTCTCAAAGACAAATGGCCAAGTTAAAAAAGAAACACTGGATAAAGTGACAAATGAGAAAGTCATTTTTTGTGTGTATCTAAGTATTTGAGACAAAAATTACGTTAGTAGCAAACATTTCTACTTCATTGCTTAGCACTGGATAAAGGCTTTTGGGGAGTTTGTCGAAGAACTGAATCAGGCAGGTCACGTTGGAGGAGTCGTCCCTGGCAGGTGGATCACATTAGGGAGGAGGAGTCCCTGGCAGGTGGATCACATTTGGGAGGGTCAGTATGTAGCAAATCATCTTTCAGAAGTATCTACACTTCAGTGATTCCTAAGGCTGCCACTGTGCCAACATGGCTTTGAACCCAGAACTGCCTTCAGAGCCCTGCTCCACCAATGAATCTTCCTCAATTTGTCAACCTAGCAAGCCTGCTGTCTCACCTGTATTATGGAGATTGTTTTGTTACTTTCCCACGGAAAAGGCTGTGAGGATTAGAGTGAGATTCCCTCATATTGTCTGGCCCACCGCAGTTACTCAAAACACATGAGTTCCCTTTCTTTTCCTTTACTAATCAGAGCCAAAGGCTCTCAGTGCTTAGGATGGGTCCCTCAACTAAAAAGTTCACACAAATAAAAACAGAGGGAAAAAATCCACTGGGTTGTCACTTAATACATCAATGACATCTGTTTGCAAAACTCTACACACCACCTTAACACTGCATGCATGCACTTTCAAAAATAATGACAGCAGCAGCATGAAGATTTAAGATTGTCCTCATAAGTAGATATAAACTAGCTGAAGCAGCAGGAGACATAACTGCCTCAATGTCAAGCATGGTTTTTCTTCTTCCACAAAACTAGTTGTATCTCAATATGGATGGGCTTTTCCCCAGACACCTATGACCTTTTCTAAATTATTAGGAAGTAATAGAGGACACGGATGAAGGGGATTAAATACTTTAAAAACAGGTTCCTGGTAGCTAAGAATTCACACATGCTATTCATTTCATCATGAAACATCAGTAAAGGACAAATCAGACTTTGTTTATTAAAAAAATACTTTACAGGAAAAAAAAAAAACCTCTATGCATTCCATTGTCCTATTTTACAAAGAAATAGCTTAACAAGTTAACACACTTAGACAGCTACAAAAAAGCACTGTGCTAAAAGATTATTCACACAAATTTAGGTTTAAGACTATTCATTAAAAACCTTTTTAAAACACTTGTTAATGTCAATAAACAAACTAAGGCCACACAACGCAAATAGTCCGCCAGGCAAATTATACATTTCATCTATATGCAAAGACCTTAGATAAATTAAAGCCACAGGAAAAAAAGTCTTAGCTGCCAATCAAAATGGAGTTTAGTCACAAAAAAACACCATTACATGAAAATTTACAACATGTGATAGAAGTAGTACATAAGTATTTCTTTAGCGAGAATTGAAAAGTGCTATATTAAGAGACAGTGGTCTCAACTACATGCACAAGTGGATCCTAAAAAATGTATGAAGAAAATGGAAGGCCATAATATTTATGGAGAGATACTTGCTTTTAAAGCAACAAACTTTAGCATGGGGATAGGTCCCTCCTATGCTAAAGCAAAACACCTCTTGTACATTTCCTCTACTTACTGCATGACCAATAAATACAGCTACAACCTGTTGTTTTAAATAAAACTTAGCAGAAATACTAGTGAAAGGTTCTTTTTTAAAAACCTGTAGCAATGACAAAACAGATTCATTAGAAAGACACCAAGTCAATTATCCTGAAGGCATAAACACCAATTTTTAATGGCAAATACAGATGAAAATATATTATGGGCTAATATTAATGATCAAGAATATATTCACTAAGGGTTTTCTTGAATTTTGGAGTCTTGTTCCTAAATTAGCTTTCATTCTAGACAATATTTATAGAGGGGAAGGCAATAAGCAAAAGTGTGAACTTTATGCCTCTTAAGACTGATGCAAGACATCTTTTCCTAACGTTTAAAGAATTTTATTAAATAAGCTCCTTTTTCCTACTACAAGAGCTTGTAATATGAATCATCTGATATTCCAACTGTCTCTAAGGGGGAAGGGCACCTTTCAAAAGTCTTTAAAAATAATGAAGTACCAATGAAACAAATTGTTAAGTGCTGAATAAGCAAATTAATAAACGCACAAGTAAGCCTAGGAATTCCTTCTTAAAGAGTTAAAATTCTGAAGGGGGAAACTCATGTAGGTTTTTATTATTATTGCTTTATGAATTTGGAATACCTCTTTGAATCCTAACCCTACTCCTAGCATATCTTGGTGTAATTATAGAATGACTTCTGGGGCAGGGGGAAGACTTTTATCCTTATTCATGAACACCATAAAATCGTTCTAGTTACGACATTAGAAATACTCACATATTGGGTCCTTTCCATAAGCACATTTAAAAATATGTGCTCCACAATAGCGGTCACCAACCTGGTGGTCCGTGGACCACTGATGGTCTGTGAGGTCCGAAAGGTTGGCGACCGCTGCTCCATAAAATACTAAAGCTTATAGCCACATTCTGCAAGTAACCTCAAAGCGTTGGCACAACGGATAAGATACCAAAAAGGAAGATCAGCTTAAATTTCAGTTACAACTTCACTGCCATCAATACTTTACAAATCAGAAGACGCCCGTTTGCTCCATGCCTCACTCCACCAAACCAAATAATTGAATGAGTTAGAAAAGTTGCAATCATTTGTATCACTAAACTAGGATACAGCTTGGAAAGCAGTAAGAAACTCAAAACTTGGGCTTTTATATTGCTCAGTCTTTAAAGCATGCTATTAAAATCTAATACTCACTCACATAGGACATTCAGTTTCCAGATACATTACTAGCTAAATGTTTCTCTCTCCATCCTATTGCAATTCTAACATACAATGAATTTATTAGTACATGATTTTAAACATTTTTATACTCTTTTAATGTGTTAATATTGGAGGTGAGGGTAGAATGTGTCAAAGGAAAGTGGGGATTTGCTTTTGATTGTAGGTCTTTGCAGATCCGCTGGTTCCTGAGTGATGAAACACAGTGCTGGCTGTCAGGAGACAGACTCCTTGTGTATTAGCAATGACCAGCTCAGATGACAGGTGGCACCTGCTGGATGGCAAGTGGGAGATGGGGAAATCGGAGCTTGGAAGACAAGGAAGGAAAATAAAAATGAAAGTTTTTGCTTTAGCAACCTTGTTCTTCATGATTATTTTAAAAAACAAATGTTGCCTGAGAAGAATTTTACTTTGCACAGCCTCGTAAAGCTCTATGAAATTCTTCTGGACAGAAAAACAGAAACAAGAAAGAACCCAAACCCACATACGTTGTGATTAACCCCACCCCCCGATAACAAAAAACACCCTTAAAGGCAGGTCCCTTAAAAACTAGTCTTGA